AAGAAGGGATGAGGGAGCATGAGCCTTGTATGTGACTTGTGTGATGTTTCTCAGCATTTTCTCTCCAAGCTCTGGGAGGATGGAGCAGTAGACATGTCCCTGCTGCCTGAAGACCATCCAGTGAAACCCTCACATCCCACCTGGCACTGCTGCTGCCTCACATCCCTTGGCCACACCGTCCACTGCCAGTCCCCACCACTCCCAGCCCCCAGAACACAAAGTCCCCAGGCGTGCTGTGGCTTTTACAAGTCTGTCCCTGTTATCCCACTGTGTGCACTGCTCTGCTCCAGCCCACAAAAGCTCTGGGTCTCCCTCCTGCCAGTGACACTTCCCACGGCCTCTGTTGCCAGGTGCGCTCGGTGATGAGGACAAATGTTTGCATCAACTCAGGACTTCAGCTCAGTTTTTGTGTATATAAGGCAGAACTGGTTTTCCTTTTTATTTTTTAGGCATCGGTGAAAATAAAACCAAGCAGGGATCCTGTGTGACACAGGTTTGTGACTGTCATTCCTGCCCGTGGTGCTGTGGCAGGGGACGGTGCTGGCTTCGGGGTCGCACGGTGCTGATGCTCCTGGGCACAGCCAGGGTTGGGAAGGTGTTCTGGGGCAGCAGCCTTGTCCCTGTAGCACAGAGTGTGCCTGTCCCACAGGGACACTGCTGGCAGTGGCGTGGCTCATATCACTGCCACGTCTCATTCCTTTGGCACCAAGAGGGATGGCAGACACGATGGCTGCAAACTCGCAGCACTGGAGACAGAGGGGAGAGGGTGAGGCCATTGTTGGGCTGGCAGAGGCCAAAGAACAAGGCCAGCTGCCCACGGATGTGGCTGCCTCCCCTTGGCGCCTCCTGGTCTCTAATCTCATTTTATGGCTGTCGATGGGCTGAATATCCTCCTTGTCCAAGATGAACAAACAGAGAATGAGGATGTGAGATAGTGCCTGGGACAGCTGGCATTGGTGCCTGACACTCTCCCCTCTCCATCCCATCAGTGTTCCCCTCATCTAGCAGAACACTGAGCAAGCAGCTGCCCTCAAATCCCTGCCCCAAATGGCTCCTCCAGCCCCAAAGCTCTTCCCAAGCGTTGCATGGGGTGTGTTGAGGTGCCAGGGCAGGGCAGCTGGCTGTGGAAGGACACCTGAAGCAGGATAAAGTCCTCGTGGGAGGAGGAGATGGAGGATTGGGAACAGGATGAGGTGGCATTGCTGAGAGAGGGACAGAGCAAAGTGTTTGTTCCTGCAATTGCAACAGAGGCTGCACCTACTGCTGCACCTACTGCTGCACCTACTGCTGCACCCTGGTGACCCTGCACTCTCCAGCATGGTGCCAGGCTGCCCATGGCACAGGAGAAACACCTCATGCGCTCCTGCAAGGAAACATGGGGAATCAGGAACTAAAGCAGGCAGGGGGATGCAAATGCAATGGAGCTGGTGCTGTACAGGAAAGGGATGAGACTGAATCAGCCACCTGCCTGAAGAGCTGGGCTGGACTGGGGAAACTGGAGGTGCTTCTGTGTGCAGATTCCAGCATGGTCCCCATGGTGGGGGCTGGCTCCCACACACTCCTCCTCCCTCCCTCTGCTTTGGCTGCCTTTAATGCCCAATTTTGCCATTGCCACGTGGAAACCAGCAGCGGGGTCCTGCCCTGGCAGGGATGGGCTGATGGCAGCACTGGGCATCACTGTTGTCTGCAAGGGGGAGCCTGCAGACAGCAGTGGGGAGGGGAACAGAGTCCTCGTGGGGGACAAATGTGCATCTCCCAAATTCACCTGCAGTGTTGGGTGGGCTGCAGGGAGGTGAGGGGCTGGGACAGAGGGAAGATGCTCCACTGCCTGCTCAGAGAGGCTGCGGGTGCTGTTGACAAGATGAAATTCCAACTGATACCCTAATCTGGCGCCTGCCTGTTTGCACAGCAGGGTAAAAGTCCAGGGAGCTGTGGGCTGTGCCCTTGGGTCCCTGCCACCCGTGTGTGCACAGGGAGCCGGCGCTGGCGGGAAGAGGCAATAAATGCACCCACACACCCAGCCACCCCTTCCCCCTACACACACACACGCCCCTTGACCAGGTGACGAAATGCATCTGCTCTGTTCCCCCTCCCATGTCCTCCCCTGCGCCCTGCATCTGCCGTTTGGGCAGGGATGGGTGAACCTTGCAGGGCCCTCCCTGTGCCAGGAAAGGGGCTGGTGGACACCGTGTCCCCACCAGCTTTGGAACCTTTGGTTCAAACCTCCTGGACACGTGTCACCTTGGCGGTTTCACCCCTGGCAGGTGACAAACACCTGGTTCCAGCACCTGCAACAGCTGCCTCCCGAGTCACATGTCGCACATGGAGCCTGGCCCTTATGGGAACAGCCTGGCCTCGTAGCCAGGGGACCCTGGGGGCTGTCCTCTGCAAGTTCCCACATTTTCTCCCTGCTCCTCCCTCTGCACTTTCCATCAGCTCCTACTGCCCAGCTTTACCCCTCCTTGGAGAAATCTTGAAACCATCATCAAACTAAGGCCACGCACAGCATGTGGCCAAGCAGAGATGTGCTGCCAGCAGCCTCCAGCATGGCACACGTCCCAGCAGTGACTAACCAGAGCGCCGCTGCCTCGCCGCCTTCCTCGCGTCTGCGGCGCGGATCTGGGCACGGTCCCATCCCGCTGCCAGACGCCTTCTCAGCCCTTCCCAGGCGGCTGCCACCCGGATCTGTGTGGGCTGCCCAGGCAGGGTGGGCAAGGGTGTTTCCCCAGCCCGAGTTCTGCCCTCTCCTTGCCCTCCAGAGTCACAAAGAGCCGGCAGTGCCAGTGGCTGTCAGTGCTGCTTTGGGGTGGAGGACGTGTGCTGTGCTCCGGCCCATGAGAAGGGAAAGGTTTACTTGGTGTGCCAGGGTGGCTCAGAGGTGGAGTGGGAGAAAACAAAACTTGCTAGGAAATGCTTGCAAGCCCTGTGTGTGCTACCTAGTGCCATGTCCTTGCAGATCAGGGCATGGGGACAGTTGTGCACACCCTTGTGCTCTCCTGGGGTTTTGGGGGTCCCTGGATTGCACTGCTCCTTCTGGCTGTTTCTGCCTCTGGTGTGTGCTGTTCCATGAAGTGCATCTCTTGCCGGCTCCAGGGCAATACCAGACTTGGTCCAGACCTGCAACGCTAAACTGAAGCATCCCAGGTCCCAGGGGTGGGACACCTACTCCCTGGTGATCCCAGGCCATGAAGAGCTGCTGGTGCTACCAGAGCAGCACCAGACAAACCAGGAGAGCGAGTTCCAGGTACAGAGCATCCCAGAAGAATTGGTATCAACATGGACATTTCAGGGCACCATCAGGCCCGGGTGTCTCTAATGAAAAATGCTGCCCTGGGCACAAGAAGGTGAGGCCATGAAGTCTGCCCAGGGATGCTGAGTGGTTTGGCAGAGATCAGCCCATGCCAGTGAGGTGGGGCTGGGACAGCTGTAGTGAGGTGGCACAGGCTCTCTGATTCAGGTTGCACTGGCATGAAAGGCAAACAAAGCATCCCTGCCCTGCATGATGGCTGAGGTAGGAGCAGTGATTGATGCAGCCCCTGGCCATCAGCCTGGCCAGCTCCAGGCTCAGCATCCCCAGCCAGCAGCTGGGAGAGGGAGAAGTGAGGGGCAAGTCCAAGGCAGGTAAAACCAGCCTGAGTGAATTCCCAAAGGTACTTTATTTTTGAGGAAGCTGTGAGTGTGTGAAAAGAGATGTTTGATGGGTTATCTAGTTTTGCTCTTTCCTTTTTTCTCTGGGAAATCCAGGTAAATATTAGCTCTAAAAGACCCATTGTGCAAATGCTGAGCCACTTCATCATATTGGATTCCTGCAGAAATGTGTCTTTATGCTGAGAATACCTTTCCTTTCAGGGAAAATTTTCAGAAGTGCTTAGAGGACTGTAGGAGCACAACTGCCATTAGATGTCCTGGATATTTGCTTTTATATCAGTCAGGCTGGGTTCTCTCTGTTCCAGCCCTGTCATTGTCCTCCTCATCCCCACTCACCTTAAGCCTCAGTAAAGCCTCTGGGCAGAAGTATGGCTCAGGCTGTAGCCTGTAGGGCACTTGCAAGGAAAAGGGACACATCCAGTATCAGAGCACTGGGCACAGTCCAGGGATGAAGTGATGAACAAGTGGATATTATCATGGGAAAGAATCCCACTGGGAGTCCAGAGCTGTCCTGGTCCCACACTGGCCCTGGAGCATGTGGGGTTGTTCTTTCTCCCATTTCCACCATGAAAGTGGGAGGAGAAGTCACAGACCAGCTCTGCCACTTCATTGGATATTTGACTGAGTATGAGGGTGAAAAGCCAGCAAGATGCTGGCCCCTGGACACTGGGACTCCAGTATCCCACTGCTGACTCAAACTGAGACATCTGGACCCTGGAGATGTGACCTGTGCTCCAGCACTGGGGCCATGATATGCTGGGCTCAGATGCTCACCCTGGGCACTGCCCAAGGATTGCTCTTGCCCTCGGTGTGGTGGGATGTGTTGGTCCTTCCCAAAGGGACTGCTGGCTGTGGAGCATCCCCCTCCCCTGGGCATCCCCCTCCTGAGGGCTGGGCTCAGGCAGCATGGGGAGCAATCACTTCTCATCTGCTCAAGCTCCAGCTGTGTCCTGCACATCAGAACCGGACAGGAAGGTGCTGTGAGCTTCTGGCATCTGCAGCCATCACTACATGGGGTGCTCGGTGTCATACTGACCGCAAGGTCAGGTCCTTCTCTAGGGACACCTGATGCATTTGTGGCGTGAGTGAGGCAGCAGCTGTTGTCCCTCGCTGCCCGGGTGGGGGTCTGAGGTCCCGGAGCCCCCCTTTCCCCGCCAGGAGTGCTTTTGACAGACAGACCTCCCTCCTCCCTCCCTGCTCCGCACGCAGCCATCCTCCTCTCCAGGCAAACCTTTCCTTCAGCCTCGCTCCTCACGTCCCCGGCTCTCCCCGCGGCAGGTGCGTGCCCACCCCTCCGTGCCGGCCATCGCTCCCCCGCTCCCCCTGCGCCCTCCCCAGCGCCGGAGGGAGCGAGACGGAAAGTGTCGGAGCGGGGAGCGCATAGCAACAGGGTCCAGGATGAAGCAGGTTCGGCAGCAGCATCTCCGGAAGGTGAGAGCCGGGAGCGGGGGTGCTCCAGGGAGAGTTGCAGGGGACCGGGGTACCCCCGGCAGGTGACAGCCGGGAGCGAGGGTACCCCAGGCTGGGAGAGGAAGCGGGGATAACCCCGGGCTGGGAGCGGGGGAGTGATGCCCACGGCCCCGCATCCCGTCCGCGGGAGCCTTCGTGGGCAGCCGACAGGGCTCAGCGGGATATTCGGGAACCGCGCTGATGCGCGGGGCCAAAGCGGGATGGTGGGCAGCGGGATGGGGCATGTGGGCCCAGCGCTCCTCCTGAGCGGGAGGCGCCGCTGCCCCCTCCCCTCCCCGGGCAGCAGGTGCTGCCGGCGGTGGGTGACTCATGTTGTGTCTGGCCGGGAGCCGTGGGTGGCAGCGGGGGCAGAGCTGGCTCCCCGCAGCCTGGCACCCCGGGAACGCCGCTGCCAGCAGCCCCGGCACTGCCCGGGCTCGGGGTCCCTCCCGCGGGATGAGCGCAGCGGCTGGGCAGTGCCTTCCCCACCTGCAGCTCGGATTGCCTCCTCATCCTCCTCCTCATCCTCCTCCGTAGGATTGAAAGGGGTGTGGGTGATGTGGGGTCAGCTGGATGCTGAACTCTGGGTTCAGAGCAGAGCTGGCAGAACAGTAAACCCTTTTTACATCCTGCTGGAAACCCTTTTTTAACCCAGCTGTCATGCTTTCCCATCCTAGGCTCCCCTCCATTGCCACTTTTTTCTTGACAGTCTGAGCTCCCATTTCCCCCCACACTGGGGACTGAGTCTGGGGACTCAGTGGAGCAAGGGACTCTCTGGGGACAGGGTGGAGCAGGGTGGCAGAGACAGTGTCAGCCACAGCTCCATCATGGGCATGTGCTGCTGCTGAACGGGTCAGCCCTCCCTGGAGCCCCCCAGGCAGTGACCCAGGGCTGGGAGCCTCTTCAGCTACACCCTGTGCCAAACCATGCCCATTGAACACAGGGCAGGTTGATTCTATTGAGATGAATGAAAACCCAGGAGAGTTTTATCCCTGCCAGGAAATTCCTAGGGTATTGGGAAATGACGTAAAAAAACCCCCAGCAGTATCCTGGTGACAGCCAGCAGTCCCTGACAGCCTATTGCTCCACTCTTGTTTTGAGGCGTCTTGTTTAGCTCTTCTCTTTCTTCCTCTTTCCTACAAATTGCTTTTCCAGATGGCTTTGTGACTGCAAGATCCATTAAAAGTGGTCTTTGCCCCTTCCAATGCCTTTCTGAATCACTTGATGCTGGTGACCTTCTTTAGCATTTATTCAGGAATTCACTTAGTCCCATGGTGATCAGTTGGGATGGAAAGCAGATGTCTCTGGAGTTATTTTCCCCATGCCCAGTGCTGCTCAGAGCCCACTGTCCTTCATTACCCAAAAATACAAAAATACCATTGTTGAGCTTCAGATGGAGGAGCTGGTGCTCACAGCCACCTTGGGAGCACTGTGTTCAATGCTGCCATTGGGCTTGCCTGGAGCTGGTGATGGCTGATGAAGAGGTGTGCCCATCCCCACTGCAGCACCCACCCAGGACCTGACAGCCTCCTCTTCCTCTCATTGTGACCCATTTCCCATTGGTGAGCTGGAGTTTTAAGCTCTTCTTACTAGACATATTTGAGACACATGGAAATAGCTCTTGGTTAGAGAAGATCTTTCTCAGGCTCTAAAGCTTTCAGGTTGGTTTTTGCTCCAGAAGAGCTGAGTGTTGTTTTCATTTATTTGGTTATTTTCTTTGGGGTTTATTTGGTAGAAATGGACTAAATCCCACTGGTGGGGGCCATGGTTCCTGCTGTCCCTTCCCATACCTGGCCAGGCTGCTGAGCAGCATCTTTCTACCTGAGCCACAGCTCTCCTCTGCCTTCCACAAACTGCCTTGAAACTTCCCCAGGGTTTCAGATGAAAAAACACAAGCATTTGTGTCCGTGCATACCCCCTACACTTTGGACATTGCTGTAGTGAGTTTTCTTCATCCTCAGCCACCTCCAGCCTCCCTGTGCTGGCTCTGCCATCACTTGCTCCCTCTGATGGCATCAGCTGTGACCCCATGCTGGGGTCACCCATGCTCAGTCCAGCCCTTTGAGGGGCTCTTCCTCACCATAGCAGTGCTTTATTTTCTTCACTTTGTAAGTCATATTACATTTGAATTAATTTTTATGCCTTTTTAAGATTTATTTTTTTTCTCTCAGAGATTAGCAAGCAATTCAAACTAATCTGAAGTGACTCACACTTTAGAGACTCGCTGTTCTCAGATCCACAGGGGAGAAATCTGGTGCCGGGTGGCATTTCTCTTGCTCAAAGGCTGTGATCATGCACAAAACACTGACAAAATAACCCCACAATGCCAGCTTGAATGGAGACAAAAGAGGATGAAAACATACCTTTGATCTGGCTGGAGTTTTTTCCTTTAGATACAGATGAGTTTTGGTTTAAGTAAATAGGTTTAGAGAAAATAATTAGCACAGAGCCGTTTCCTTACAGACCCGAGCTCTTATCTTGGCAGAGACTAAAGTGTTTTTTCTTCTTGGTGACCTTTGCTTTGCTGACTTCTTTGGGAGCATCTTTTGGTGAATAATGGGAAGGGATGCTGTGTTCAAAGAGGCCGTGGTTGCCAAGGGAGCTGTTGGTCCCTGTCTGTTTATAGCAGCGAGACGGGAGCCCGGCCTGAAGGAAGGCAGCTGATGGAGGAAAGCACTAGAGCAATACTGGAGCACTGGAGCACTTCAGCTGCTCCTGAAAAGAGAATTTCTGTTATGACAGAGGCTGAAAGAGAGCATTAAACCTAAAATAAGACCTCTAGAATCAAGCTGGTGTGTGAGATTTCCAGCAGTCAGGAGAAGGGAGGTGCTTCCCTCTGTGATTTGGGACAAGGATGGGCTGGAAGCCTTAAATATTGTGCTTTGTAATTAATTTCAGGTCAGGCAAAATTTTCTATGATTTCTACGGAAAGGCTGGGATTTGGGGGAATTTTGAGCATTGCAGTCAGGGAACTGCTTTCGTGTGTGTTTTCCAGCAGCATCCCTCACCTGTATCTCCTCAGCTTGCCCAATGAGGACAAGTGCCATTGTACTTTGGGTTTATCTCACATTTGGGTGGTCTCTGCTTTCTGCTCTGGGGTCCTAAATTTGAGCTGTGGAGCTCTAGATAAAGATATTAACAAGGGGGCAGTCATTATTGAGACACAAGTGACAAACTACATCCCATGGCCCTTGAAATGGTGACTGAGGAGGGGACCAGGCCATTTACAGTTTGGACAAGGTCCCATTGATTCCTTTCATTTCCTGTTTTTGCTTCTGTGTTGATTTCTGTGCTACATCTCATGGACAGGCAGCCACATGTAATGAGATCTTGCAGCTCTACCTGTGCCCTCCTGCAGGTGTTTGGGATTCAGACAGAGATGCAGGAATTAGGCAACAGGATTTAATGATCTCCCAGCATCCCTGCTTGCTGGTTTTCTGTGATTCAAGTCTGGAAAACAAGAGCTCCCCAGCCAGTGTGATGGACAGGCAAACAGTATTTTGCAGGGGGAAGACCCAGCTGTGATGGCCCCTACTTGGCAGGGAGCTTTGTGAGTAGAGGTTTGAGCTGCTGAAATCTTTGGGAGGGAGTTCAGAGCAGCCTGTGCATCCCCTGCAAGCACAGACAGCTGTGGGTCACACACTGAGTGTGCTGGGCTAATCAGGAGGCATGGCCATGGCCTGGAGGTTGCTAAACCACAGGGCTGTGCTGAACCACTGCAGGAGGGCTGCCAGGTACTGATGGTTTTATAGCAACAGGATCACATTTGGGTCATATTTTGACTTTTCAGCCTGTGTTTTTGCAACTTTTTCTTCTGGCCCTTGCCTTGTGATGGTGGCATCCAGCAGGGGTGGGATTTTCACAGAGGATTTTGGTGTAACAGCTTTGCTGGAGCTGTACATTTCAGGCTGGCTTTGGGAAGAGTTTGCCCTTGTCCTGTCCCTTGATGTGTTTGTGCTCCAGGTGGGGATGGGGAGGAGTTTGTCTCTGTGTTTGGTGCCTTTGGACTGCAAGCAGCATGTCTGCAGTGCCAGCAGCTGGGGGTTTGGGGTGCACCCTGCGCAGGGGGGAGCTGGCAGCCCTCTCCTTCAGCATCATGCTCGGTGTCTCCATGGGAACCAGCAGCAGGAGCATCCTCCAGTCCAGTCCAGCTGGAGATGAGGAGGAGGAGAGGAGAGGAGATGGCTGCTGCCTTCCCTGAGGCAGTGGAAGGGCAGCACTGAGCCCTGATCACCAGCCACCTCTGGCTCCTGGGGACTGGGCTCTGCTGCAGGCTCTGAGCACTGCTGCACACTGGTACAGGAGACCCACAGCTCCTTCTGGCTGATCCCTCCACACCCACGTCCCTCTCCTCAACCACATTTGTGGTTTGTTCCCTACAATTACGAACAAGGCCAGGGAGGTGGCTGCTTTTTTTCTTCAGAGAGCCCGAGAAGAGAAGGTTCCCATATGAGCTCCTCTGGCCCTGGTCCTGGTACCTTGTCAGCAGGGACACCAGAATCCTCCTGTGCCTCGGCAGAAACATGACAAACTCCCACACCAGGACACAGCAGCACAGGGTGGCACAGGGACAGGATCCTCATTCCAGCCCTTTGTGCTGCCTGGTCTTGCTTGTGGGTGTATGTGTGATGGGATCTCATCTGGCAGCTGCTGACTCAGGCCTTCAGCTCTGCAGTCAGTGGGGATGCTTTCCCTGCTCTCCTGAGGTCAGGAAACTGGGAGAATTCAGACTGAGCACCTCCCTGCCAACCTGATGTACACCCATACAAACACAGAGGTGCCCTCCTTGTGCATCACCCCAACCCAAAGGGATTGCAGGACTCGCACTTCCACTTGCAGGGCTGAGGCAGTGGGGAGGAAGGGAATGGGTTAATGCCCTGCCTGTGCTGCATTGATCCAGAGCACATTAGGAATTCTGGAAGGAGGTCTCTCATCTCTCTGCAGGGACAACTGGGAGTACCACTGAATTCCCACAGTGCAGGCTTTTGGCAGTTGGAAAAGTGTGAAAAATGCAGGGAGCAATAAGTGGGAGCCAGTGGAGTGCCTGGCAGGGCACACACGTGGGGCTGGGTGTCACACTCCCTGGCACACCACAGTGCTTCTCCCACTGCCCTCGTGCCTGCGTTCTGCAGGAGGTGCAGAAAGTTTATTGTGTCCCCTGAAAGGGTGTCTTTGGAACCTGGGCTTGTGAGCTGCGTCCTGGTGAACATTCCCAGAACGAACTGGGACAATCCCATGTTTCCCAGGTGAGCTCTGGCTATGTGGGATCACATTTATCCATTTTGTTGCTCAGTGGCAGAGCAGGGCAGTGGCTGAGGTGGGGAACAGAGAGCTGCTGGGACAGGGTGTTCCCAAGGGACAAGTGTCAATGCTGTCACAGCTTGGGGTCACAAATTCGCTCGTGAGTTCTTGGCACTTCTTCCCTCTCTTCCCTCCTTCATTCTCTGTTTTTATTCCTTGTTCAACCCATGTCTGCCCTCTCCCATCCCTCTTCCCTCACTCAGCCAGTGCCACCAGATCTCCTGGTAAGCCCCAGCAGCCAGGATGGGGACCTGGGCTCCGAGTGCCCAGAGGACAGAGGGAACTGGACAGGGCGGCTGGATTTCCTCCTCTCCTGCATCGGATACTGCGTGGGCCTTGGAAACGTCTGGAGGTTCCCCTACAGGGCTTACACCAATGGAGGAGGTACTTGGGCATCCTTTGCAGTGGTCACTCTCCCACCCACTGACCTGGGCTAGTAGAATATCCCTGAAGAAACATCCCTTCCCCTTCCTGGGGCTGGAGAGTAGCACTTGTTGTGGGGTGAAGTCTCCTCCTGCCCTCCCCATGGTTATTTAGGGCTTTAACCACCTGCATCCGTGAGTGGAAAGGATTTGCAAGCCCATCTCTCTATTCCTGGCCTTGGACAAGCCCCTCCATGCTGAACAAAACACCAGCTCTCCTGGTGTACTCCAGGACTCAGCAGGGTCAGCAAACCCTTCCCAGCTATCAGAGGAGGGAGTGAACCTTTTGCAATGCAAGAGCCCTGGGTGATGGTGCCAAATGTTGGTTCAGCTCCTCCCAGAGCAATAATAACTGGAGAATTTCATGGTGTTTGTGAAAGATTCAAAGAGAAAAGAGAGTTGGGAGCAGTGGGGAAGCACAGCACCAGGTGAATCACAGCCCCTTTCTCCTACACTAACAGAGAGCTCTTGCTCCTCCCTGTCTTCCTGATTTTGATGTAGATCCCTCAGAGCCACACATATTGAATGAGCTTTATTCCCTGTCACAGTTAGGCTTTAGGTGTTTGTTCTGTATTACTTTCAAGATTTCTTTTTTTAAATTTTTTTTTCCTTCTTCTTGCAGGAGCTTTCTTGGTTCCTTACTTCATCATGCTGGCTATCTGTGGGATCCCCATCTTCTTCATGGAGCTGTCACTTGGCCAGTTCTCCAGCCTAGGGCCACTCGCAGTCTGGAAGATCAGCCCTCTCTTTAAAGGTGCGTGAGTGAAGTGCAGAGCCTCTGAGGGGCCTCTGCAAGAGCTCTTTGATGAGGACATGCACCAGCAGCAGCAACCCATGGTCCTCAAAGCTCTTGTTAGAATCAAAAGAACCTGGGGGAAGGTGTGGCAGGCTGGAATTTTGAGTTAGCTGGTTTAGTAGCTGCCTGAGACTGGTCAGTCTTTGAGGGCTCTGGGTGGCATGGCCAGCTCTAGAAATAGTATGAAGATTATTAAGCCAGCTCTGGTATAAAATAGAGCATGAAAACTAACCAATACCTGTTAAAAACAAAGGTAAGAATAAAGCATTTGAAAAAAAAGTTCAGATCAAATACTTTTATTCTCAACATCAGGCTGGTGTAAAGTTTTTTCTATGAGGCAATAGATCACCAATACAGAGAAGGCATGTCCAGATGTTATAATGGCAATAAGTGGCTCCCCCAGCAGGTGAACCTTGGACTGGTTGATCATTTGGCTGCTGAGGTGCAGTGTCTGACCCTGCTTTTGGATGTGCTTTGCTCTGCTCCAGCTCACTCCTTCTTTACCCTCTCCTTCCTTCAGGCGTTGGCATGGGCACGATCCTCATCGTCTCCTTGGTGGCCATTTACTACAATATGATCATTGCTTACGTTCTCTTCTACCTCTTTGCATCCCTCACAAGCGACTTGCCCTGGCAGCACTGTGGCAACTGGTGGAACACTGACCTGTGCCTGGACCACCACGTCCTCAAGGCGGGGAACAGCTCCCTCCCCGTCAACATCAGCAACACCGTCAGCCCCAGCGAGGAGTACTGGAGGTACCGAGGGCAGCCCGAGCCAGGCTGGGGATGTGTTGGTATCTAGCCAGGGGGAGGATGGGGAGGGGATGGGGGGTGAGGATGTGCACAGCTCACAGCACAGACGCTGCAGGTCTCACTCGGGGGGGTGCTGTGGGTGCAGCGATGGGCTCGCGTGCTCAGCTCTGGGTGACAGCTCAGTTTAGCCACTGGGATGTGGGAGGTGTCCATGTTCTAGCACTGCTTTGTTGGCCTGGAGATTTGCTAGACTAAAATGCATCCCACGTCTGGGATGGCTGGCAATTTGCTCTCGAGATACCAGGCATCCCTTCTGGGCTCTTTAATACGTGGTGGAGAAATCACTCCAAGTGTTCATGTTTGCTTGGCAAGGAGCTGCCGGTGCCTGTGATAGTTGGCAAAGTCATTTTGAGGCAGAGGCATTTCTAGGGTCAGAGGGCCTCTGGAAGAAGGCAGCCCATGCTCACTAGCAGCTCTCCTTCCTCCCTAGCCGGTATGTCCTGCACATCCAAGGAAGCTCGGGGATTGGGGATCCTGGGAGGATCCGCTGGAACTTGTGTCTGTGCCTGCTCCTTTCTTGGACTATTGTTTATCTGTGCATCCTTAAGGGAGTCAAATCCTCTGGCAAGGTAAGGGCTGGCTGCTCTCCTCTGGGGGGACCTACAGCGATGCTCACCAGTGTGTGCACCTCTGGCAAAGTGAGACCCAAAAGCAGCATCTGCTGGGTATAACATATTTTGGGGATGTCTTGCACACCCAGACACCAGCAGGGCTGGCACACCGGCCCTGCTGCAGCCCAAGGACCCCAGGGTGATGTGTCCCACCTAGGGACAGGGTGTGGGGGCAGCACTCACGCTGTGCTCTCGTTCCCAGCTCTCCCTGCTGGCTCTGCTCTCCCACAGGTCGTGTACTTCACTGCCACCTTCCCGTACCTCATCCTGGTGATGCTGCTCATCCGTGGCGTGACCCTGGAGGGGGCCTGGAAGGGGATACAATTTTACCTCACTCCCCAGTTTGATCACTTGCTGTCCTCCAAGGTGAGTAGGATGTTGTGCAATTTGTTCAAGACACAAAAATGAAATTTCTCCTGCCACCTTCTGAATACCACAGAGACAGTTCCCTTACTCAGGTGTCTTTTCTGCCACACCCTAGCCTAAAGCTCTCTTGATTGCTCCTAGACCAAAAATCTTTGTCCCACACCTTGTTTGGGCCACTATTCCCATGTCTCCCCACCCTATGCATGTGTTTATGGCTCTGCATGGATGGGATGCTGTCAAGACTCCCCTGAGCAGCAGGACCAGGGCAGGGTCATCCCAGCCCTGTGAAGGGTTGATGGGTGCCCATGGTGGATTTGAGTGTTTGTGGTTCTCCAGAAATCCCAGCATGTGGAGTGGGGGTCAGCAGTGATGATCATCCAGAGACCACCCAGTTTTACGAGGGCATTTAATGCCACACTGGGCTGGCCCTAAAACATTCTTATTAGCCCTTCCATTAGCCAGCTGATCCACTATGAGTGGTGAGTGTTAACAAGGAAAGACAAATATCCTGTAGCTGTGGATGCTTGGAGTGCTGGGGAAGATGTGCCCAGAGCTCCGGGGAAGCAGATTTCTAATGTCATCTTCCTCAAGTGGAGGATTCCAAACCCCTGCTCTCCTCAGAACTGCTTCCTTCCCCCAGGTGTGGATTGAGGCAGCCCTGCAGATTTTCTACTCCCTTGGGGTGGGCTTTGGGGGCCTCCTCACCTTCGCCTCGTACAACACCTTCCATCAGAATATCTACAGGTGGGAGTCAGCTGCTGTCTTGTAAAAATTATGGGTTGTGGGGGAGCTGTGAAAACCTGGTGGGTTCAAAGCCAGCAGAAGCCTGTGGTGCAGCACAGTCACCTTGCTCTGCTCCTTGCACTGAAGGGATACCTGGCAGTTTGTACAGGCTTGAGAAGAACAGAGGGATCCTCCTAAGCACCAAGGCAGAGCACCCAGCTCAGACATTTTGGGCTGTAGGTGCTGAAAGCTGAGGATATTTGAGGCTGGAGTTGTGCATGTGTGCCCTGTGCCCAGCATCCAGTGTAGTTCACTGAAAGAGATGGGTGTGACATCTGGTCTGACCCTATCCACAGGGGACAGAAAGCTTTAGAGGAAACCCACAGTATTATCCATTAAATATATGCTCCATTTGACACTGGAAAGCACTTGCATGAGAAGCCCTGAAGGACAGGCACTGGGTCACCTTACTGTGGCATCTGGGGCTGGCAATGCCACCGTGCACTGGTGTGGGAAGGAATGAGCATGTTCAGAGCATCTTCTTCCTTCTCTGCAGGGACACCTTCATAGTGACCCTGGGCAATGCCATCACCAGCATCCTGGCAGGGTTTGCCATCTTCTCCGTTTTGGGATACATGTCCCAGGAGCTTGGGGTCCCTGTTAACCAGGTGGCAAAAGCAGGTGAGGCCAAATGAAGATGTTTTCCCCTTCTCCCTCTGCCTGGGTGTGCTGAGGAGCATCCCTTCCAGGATGGAAGGTGCCTGAGGGTGTCAGCATGAGGGATGAAGGTGCATGCTTAGCTGGCCAGGGGAAGGGGAGGAGGCAGATAGGTTCCTGTGGTGTAAATATTGAGTAACAAGTGCTGTCCAATGAAGGTGTGAGCAAGGAGCAGGCTGTTTCTCCACCCTCTGCCACAGGACCCCTCCTGCCCATCTTGCCAGAGTCCTGGCAAATCTCTGCCATTGTGCTGCTCTGCTGAGCTCTCCTCTCCTCCATCCCCCCATGCCCAGCTCTGTCACCACCTTTTCACCCTGCTGTCCTTTGCCTCCCCTAGGTCCTGGTCTGGCTTTTGTGGTGTACCCCCAGGCCATGACAATGCTCCCCCTTTCTCCATTCTGGTCATTCCTGTTCTTCTTCATGCTGCTAACCTTGGGCCTGGACAGCCAGGTAAGGACAGAGCCCACGGAGACAGCCGTGGACTCCAGGCAGCCTGAGGGCTCAGGACACCCTCTCCTCCTGCAGTTTGCATTCATGGAGACCATCGTCACAGCAGTGACAGATGAGTTCCCCTACTACCTGCGGCCCAAGAAAGCTTCCTTCTCAGCTGCCATCTGCATTGCCCTCTTCCTCATGGGGCTCATCCTCACAACAGAGGTATGGCTGTGGGGATGGACCCATTGTGGGGGCCAACTAGGGCTCATTTTAGGCAGAACCTAGGTCAGGGGACAAGTTTTCACATATATATTCATATACATAACCAGGTGAAAGTGAGAGACAAGCCTGGGCTTGCAGAAGGTGTGAGGGCCAAGGGGAGCGACACAGTGTCATTCCCATTCCTACACCAACCCCATAAGGAGAGTGGTGTCTCTTGAGGCTGCTGACTGCTGTCCTCCCCCAGGTCCCCAAAAGTCAGAGGACATGGGTGGAGTTTTGCTGGGATGATTGTCCAGGAGTTGCTGGCCTCTGTGCTTTGTCTCCACAGGGTGGGATGTACTGGCTGGTCCTGCTGGATGACTACAGTGCTGGCTTTGGTCTCATGGTGGTGGTGATCACTACCTGCCTTGTGGTGACACGTGTCTATGGTAAGGCTGCCTGTCCCCACAGGGGCACAGGGAAGGATGTGCTGTCTGTACAAAGAGAGGGATTTAGAGGGAGCAGTAGGGAAACCAACAGCCTCACAGTGGAGCGTGAGACTCCACTTTCACCACCTGTTTCTTCTTGGCTGTCACTTGATTCACCTCTCCAAAGATACGAGTGGTGCTGAGCCTGATCCTTCAGGCAGCTGGGCCCCCTCCTGCATCTCCCAGATGGGTGGGGGGGCACTGCTGTAGAGGATACAAACCATCAGTGCAGGGCAGCCTGGTACAGGAACAAGGCTCTGGGGGAGGGATCAAAGCTTCTGAGTCCCTCTCCCTCCTGCAGGCATGAAGAGGTTCTGCCGAGATATCCACATGATGCTGGGATTCAAACCAGGCCCCTACTTCAGAGCTTGCTGGATGGTCCTATCCCCAGCAACGATGATGGTAAACTGCTCAGCTTGAGCTGCTGGATGGTGCTGGAAAACCACGGTGCTGCCAGTACCCCTGGGTGACCTCCCAGTGTGATAAGTTACACTGCTGGCATCTCCTGCCCCGGAGACCATCCTTCCTCTGGGAGGTGTCCATCATCTCCAGGCCTTTTTTGACTATGAGACCTCTGGGATGATCTCACTTTCTTCCCATCCCACAGGCTCTGCTGGTGTATAACATTGTCAAGTACCAGCCTTCTGAATATGGCAACTACCGCTTCCCCACCTGGGCAGAGGTCTTGGGCATCCTCATGGGAGTCCTCTCCTGCCTGATGATTCCCATGGGCATGGTGGTGGCTGTGCTCCAAGAAGAAGGGACGCTGTGGGAGGTAGGAGGTACTGGGCCTGACACTGCTGGGGAGCACCCCAGAAATATGCAGCAGGGAGCACAAGCCCCTGCCAAGTCAGTATCCCTGGAAGTTTCTGTATCCTCTCTCCTGGAGGCATGTGTCCCCAATCCCCCTTGCCACCCACGGGGTGTGAGAGATGACACATCCCAAAGCATTTCCAGCAGTGCTGCCTCCCATGATGCCAGGCAGGTACTGAGCAAAACAGCTTCCCAAGGGACATCCCAGTGTGCATTCCCACTCCAAAACAAGCCTGCTGTGCCCTGTGAGGAAGCACATTGTCCCCACTGTGGGGTGGCCATGGGCACCTGGGACTTTGCACCCACTTGGCAAGAGCAATGACACAGCAAGGCAGGCAGCTGCCAGACCATACAGGCAGCCCAGATGGGATCCCTGCCCTGAAAGGCTTCTCCCAGGAGCTGGCTGCTCACAGCTTTCCTAGCCCTTCACTGCTCTCACTAGGCTGTTAAAAGCAGAGGAGCAGAGCTTGATACCCTCCCCAGGCAGCAATCCCCTGCTGGAGCACTTGCTGGCTGTAACCTGGTTTGACACAGCCATGGGCACTGTGACATGGCCAGGAGCCACCTTGGCCAAGGCTAACCCCTTGTCTGAGTGGCTCTAACCCCACAGCACAGGGCTGTAGCCCTACAAAAGCCTCTTGCTCCTCCAAGCCCTCACCACCATGACACCTCCCCAGCCCACAGCCAGACACTTAGACAGAACCACCTTCCCAAAAGTTTTCAGGATGAGTTTTGACCCATCCCATCCTCACTGGGGGTTCTTTCAGTCCCTGGGGGCCAGCAGGGCCCTGGGAGAGGTGGGTGAGCTGAGGGTGGGGTGCTGCCTGGGGAGCAGAGGGTGCAGGGTGCCTGTCCCCCCACAGCGAGTGCAGCAAGCCAGCCGGCCGGCCATGGACTGGGGCCCGTCCCTGGAGGAGAACCGCAGCGGCATGTACGTGGCCAGCCTGGCTGGCAGCCAGTCCCCCAAGCCCCTGATGGTCCACATGCGGAAATACGGGGGCATCACCAGCTACGAGAACACGGCCATCGAGGTGGACCGCGAGATGGAGGAGGAGGACGAGGAGGAGTCCATGATATGAGGGACAGTGTCCCGCAGGCTGGGGGGGAGCTCGCCTCCCATTTTGCACAGGTTGCACTGCAGCACTTCAGGACGGCTTGGGGGGTCTTTCAAGGAGTAGTCAGGAGCTGCTGACCCTGCCAGGGTCCCCATCACCACCCTGGCCCTGCCAGGACAGAGATGCTGCCTGTCCTGGTGCCCCTGATGTGCTTCTGTTCAGTGTGACAAACTGTGTGATGAGTCCGTGTGTTTGTGTGACAGTGTCTGGTTGAAGTGTCACGGCTGTCCCACTCCCACCTGCAGCCCCAGCCCTGCTGTCCCCTCTCAGGGTTGTCCAGGGTGGAGGGATGTCCAGGCTGCAGGAGGTGGGGAGGAGGAGAAGGAGCTCCTGTGTGTTGATCTGTTCTCTGTTTGTCTGTATTTGACTCCAATAACCCATAAACACATGTGAGAGAATCTGTAACAGCCTCCATTCCCAGAGGACAGCGTGTGCCAGAGTGCTCTGATCCCACAGAGGTATTCCAGCAAAACCAGCACAAATCTGTGTCCTCCTAAAGCAATTTGACCTAATAAATGAGCAGTTATAAATGAGTAGAAGAATAAAAGAAAAGGCTTTATAAACAAACCAGGCTGTAGATCCCCCAAGGACCTTGGTGGGTCAGGGTGGCTCTTCCCTGTGGTGTCCGGCAGGGTTGGGGTGATTTGAAGGGAGAGAAGAGATGGTGTAACCTGTCCCTCAGGTGTGCAGGAGGTCAGGGACAGGTTTCAGCTGGACCCAGTGTCCAAGGAGGACCTGTGTCTGTTGCCAAGGGAGATCCAAGGTGTGGCCCCAACCCTGAGTGCTGCTTTTCCCAGGGAAAGGAGAAGGGCTGGGTTTCAGTGTCTGCGTGTGATTTTGGGGTAGATCAGCCCGTGTCCCACCTCCTGCTGACACTGCTGGCCTGAGGTCTTGGTGACCTCCTGGACAAGGCTGTTTGGACCTGATGCTGCCAGTCCCCACCATCCCAGTGCCATGTGTGCCTTGTGCCATGTGCCATCAGCTCACCCATAGCTTTGTGACACAGCCTCTGCCTGGGTTATTTGGGGCGTCTTCAACGTGGAAGAAAGGCACACCCAGAGGAGCTTCCAGCGCCTCCCATGCACATCTAGAGGGGCACAGCTCCTCCTGGTCTTTTTTTCTGCAAATCTTTGTCCTGGTAAAAACAAAACTGTAGGACAAAGAGAAAAATGAGGGTCTGTGTCTGGATTGTGGATGTGCTCCTGGTGCACTGGGTCTGGCACCGTGGCCTGAGCCTCCAGGGTGAAATCTGTCAGGAGGCTGCAGTCTTCTTTGCCTACAGTACAGGAGATTTAATTATTGCCTTTGCCCCTCCAAGAGATAGGACTTGCTCCTACACCTCCTCCTGCCTGCTCACCTCCTTTTGTCCAGGGATGCTGAGCCCACTTCCAGATGGCTGTGCCTTTCCTTCCTCCTGCAGGACCCCCAGTGGCTTTCCCCATCCTCCTCCTGTGGCCCGTGGGGGCGATGGGGGTCCCCAGCTCCAGCTGCTCTGGGTGTGTGGGGCTCTGGCAGCACAGCCCCTTTGCCTGCTGGGCCTGGGTTAATCATTAGAGTCCGGCCATAAAAGCGTGGCTGATGGAAAGCTCAGGCCACGGCGGCTGGGGAGCGGGGAGGGCCTGCCATAAACATTTATGGCCCCAATGAATCCCTTGCTCTAACCTTGACACTATTTACTGAGCAGGAGGCCTCTGGAGGTCACGGTGTTGCCCAGCCATTGCTGTGGGTGCTGGCCAGGGAGCCTGGGCTGGGCTGGCCCTGGAGGGGCACACACAGGGGGGTGATGGACTCCAGGGTTTCGTGATGGCGCTGCTGGCCACAAAGCACCAGAAGAACCAGGAGAACCTGATGCCTTCCCACAGCATGAAGCTGCTCTGGGCTGACCAAGATGTTTCTCAGCTTTTCCTACCTGCATGGGGTCCTACTGTATTCCCCAAATCCCCACTGCAATCCTGGGATCCTCAGGGCTCTCCTTTAGTAGCTGCCATCACCCAGCACTGTGCTGCAGAGCGATGGGAGGGATGGAGCTGAGGCTGTACCAGGGACGTGGTTGGGAGGCAAAGCTGGCACTGAGGGAGGACACCAAGGGCAAAAGGCAGTGGGGCAGTGGCACATCCAGAGGACACGTGTCCTGTGCCATGCGTGGCTGCCCGGGGCTGGGGGGGACGCAGCAGTGGGAACATTCCAGTGCTGACACCTGCTGGGGCAGATGGCAGGGACAGGGGGCAAAGGGGCACCCCTTTGGGGTGGGCCTGGCCTGGAGCAGAAACAGGGAATGTGGCAGCCTGACTCCAGTCCCCGGAGGTACCAGCCCACCTGCTTGAGCAAAGCCCAGCAGGTGCCCCTGGGAGCCCCCCAAAGCCTCCCTGGACTTAGCTGGAGGTCCTGTGTCCCTCACCCTGTAGCAGCACTTCCTCTAAACTCCCCCAAACTGCCCAGTGGGCACCCCCATCTAGCCTGAACACCTGCTGGGGGCTCCCAGACACCTGCAGCACCCAAAGCCCTGTCCCTGGGAAAAGGGCTGGATGGCAATGAGCTGGGTCTGGGCAGCACACTGAGCTCCCTGAAACCCCAGAGCTGCTGGACACCAGCAGTGGGCAGCGTCCAGAGTCCCAGCATCCTGCAGGCAGCAGGATACCTGCAGCCCCTGCCCAAGGCCTGGTCTCAGCCTCGATGCTTTCGAGGACAGGAGTGTGGTGATGGAGGGACAAGGGGGTGGCAGACGGTCTGAGTCACTGCAGTGACGGAGAATCATCCGTTTCCATGCTCAGAAGTTGGTAGCTATTTATTGCACTTGAACACCAAGAATAAAACTGACACTCGCCCTCCCTCCCACACCCACCCCGCTCCCCGTCCCCCCCGCACCGCCCTCCCCAAACAGAGCATCCGATTTGAGCAGTGATCATTCTGTTCACAGCCGCAGGTTCAGAAAAGACAAAGGAAAAGGAAACAAAATCAATCCTCCCCCACCCACCCCCAAGTTCCCACTGAATCCAACACGGTCACACTGCTCAACAGTTCGAGTGCACTTACAAAAAGAGAAGAAAAAGGCTTCAGCTGCAACTGTACGGACGAACAGACACGAGGGGACAGGCAGCGACCCCTCCCCGGGGCTTGATTTTTTGTTACGTGACAAAGCTCGGTATACTCTTAATTATAATATATTTTTTTGCTATCATCTTAAATAAATATTTCCATAGAGATTTCCTGTAAGTATATATATTTTTATATATATATATAATATATAAGAGAGAGAGATAGATCTCATTTTCTTTCCTTAAACCACTGTTAACATATTTTCCCTGCTTGTCCAAAAAATGTTACAAAAGCCCTAAAATTGTGCAACAATTAGAAAAAAGGGACAACAATCCAAAGAAGGAAGGAGCCACTCGATACAGTCCCCTCCACTGCTCCCTCTCTCCCACTCCCTGTTGATAACCTGCAGGAGGGAAGGAGATTCAGATCAATCTGGTGACAGAGTGGCCACCAGCCCCTGCTCTGGTGTCCCCACAGCCTGTTCACATCTGGGTTTCCCTGTCTGATACCGACAGGACCTGCACTTTGGGACATGGGCAAGGGCAAGGTCTCTGCTGGCTGGAGGATCTGTGCAGCATCAAGAGTGTGGAGTACACCATAACCCGTCCTGTGGTGGGGAAGAAGGGTCAGTCTGTCTCCTGGGGTGATCAGAGGATGTGATCTCCTGCTGGCAGACACTCTTGGTCCATGGGGCTGTGGGGCTGCCCCCCCCACACGGCACTGCAATCCCACCACGGGCTGCAGAGCCCACAGAGAGCTCCAAGTGGGAGTAGATGACTGCTGCCTCCTCCAGCTTCTGGAGATCCATGGGGGCATCCATGGGAGGAGAAGCAGGTTTGGGGTCAGACAAGGATTTGGTGCCTGGCAGAAGGAGCATTTCATGTGGGTTTGTGGGGGGAACTCTCCCAGCGGTGTCTGGCTGGGGTGAGGAGGAGGGTGCTTGCTCCTCCAACAAAGAGCAGAGGCCTCTTTGTCTTCCAGAGGGGATGCATCAGCAAGATGTGAGAAATTATGATGTTGCCAGTGGACCTTGGCAGCCAGGAACGGAAAACAGGCAGCTCCCAAACCCACCTATGGGGCTGGGAGCTCAACACCACTACAGCAAGTGCCTCCAGTCAGACATCCCCCGTGGTCTGGGAGAGGTGGAAAAGAGGATGAGTTTGGAGGACTTCTGAGTTTGGTTTGAACGAGGCACCAGGAGACCGAAGGAGAGGAGTTCCGTCTGTGCCAGGAAATTAAATGTGCCATAGCCTGATCTCCAGCCTTGAGGCTGATGGGACAGGATGTCCATGGTGATAAACTCTATTCCAACAAGGTGGCCCTGTCCATGTTGCTTATTGGGAACATCCCTGGACATTGTCATTCCCAGAACAATGGTGGGATTGTTGGGGCAGTGCTTGTTTGCATGTGTCAAGGACAGTGCCAACAGCTTAAAAGTGGAGATGTAACAGCAGCATCCCTGGCTCTTCCAGCCAAAGAAGGATGGTGGAAACTTATTTATAGCTTTCCTGCAAGTTTAGGAGAAATCAGCAATTGCAAAGGAAGACAGAAACAGATGCTTTCCATGGATACTGAAAGAAAAGGTGGAGGTCCATCAGTGCTTGCTGAGATGCTCTGGAGATACAGGAACCTGCTCTGGAGAAGCAGGGCAAGGTAGGGCAGAGACACCAGGCAGGACAGACCCCTAAAGTGCAGGTGCTTAATGCTGCCAGCATGGGCACGTTGGGAAGTTGGGTCTTCCTTGGTCAGGCTGCAGCTTGACTGGAAGACTAGAATGAGTTTAAACTTCAGACTCTGCTTCCCTTGCAAAGGACTGTTGCAAGGACATCCAGCTGCCTCCTGGAGAGATGACCCTAGGGAAACTTCAAGGAGAAACTCCCTCCAAAAAGACACCTCAAAGCCTTTCTGGGAGCCAAGATGCTTCTCCA